CATGAGACTTGTTGCAGATGTGGCTATTTGATGCTAAAGTTGCTGTCACAGGCTTTACTTGTCTTCGTATCAACCTTCAACTAGTTCTCACTCAATGCTATCCTACTTAGCAAAAGTTGCATTTGGCCACTACAGCCATGTAGTTGATTGCTCAATAGGTGGTTAGTGGGACCTCCCACTAATTTCAGTTACAGACAGCTGGTGACATAAGGCAGTAAGAACACAACCAGGTAACTTGAGGAACACCCTCTGCTTGTTTACACAGTATTACTGCACTGGCAGCAACAAAAAAAAAAGTCTAAAAAAACATCCTGGAACGACAAGATAGCTTATCAGCAACCTAAGTTTCTGTACGAATTATAGGGCAGACTTCCTCCTCCTGTCTCCTCCTCAAGTATCATGGCAGCAGGAAAGTGTACTCAAGCCTCAAACCCATAAAGCTGCCTCAATACAACGCGATGCACATAGCACTTGACTCTCTCTTTCAACCTCAATGCCAGATAAAGGAGAAATCAAATGCCAGGCAGTTCTCACAAGGACTATTTACAGTCTTTTCTGGGCATTTTGTTCTACAAAAGCTACCTCAAATCATCAAGTCTGAATTGCTGCTTTCATAAACGTGAGACCGTTATTGAAAACACAGCTAGGGTGAAAACATGAAAGTGTCACGTAAAGAACCATTTATCCAGTCCACATCACTTAAGAAAATCATTTCTTACCACAAAGGCATCAACTTGACTAGCTTTAGGTTATTACTGATCACGTATAAACATACAGAATAAGCATGAAGGGTGTACTTAGAAGATCTGGTAATGAAGACAGGTGACAAGCAAATCCTGGGAGCTCCTCAGGCTTCCTTAGAAGCTGCAGTTTGAAACTTCTCTCTTACCACCTCAGATACAACATGATTAGTTATATGCTAATCTTCAAAAAACATCAAACTACTTCTGAAGGTTTCAACCTACTGTAAGTTCTAACAGTGCACGCAGATGACTGCCTCTAGTTGGGTACCAAGAGTGACTTTTCGTATTGAGCAAATCACACTGTCTAAGATAATGTTCTCAAACAGCCACTTGGAAATCTTTTACAAAGACATCAACCTTCTCTCATGTAATACTACAGTATCACTAAGTGCTTAGTAAACTTCTAAAATCAATTTATGCCCTTAGCTAATTCTTGCCATTCTTAGACATAACTCATAATTTACCCCTCATATTACCAACCAGTCTTTCCAAATCTGTTCAAATAAATGCTGACCTACTCTTAGATTCCTTGGATTTTCATTGGATTTTTTTCAATATCATTCCTACTAGCAGATACAGTTTTACTTTCCAACTTGACTTTAGGTGATAACAATTGTTTGGAACTGTCTGCAATGCCCAGCATTCCATAATCAACAGTAAGACACATTTTTGCTAAAAGGGTGCATCCCAGGCTCTGAAATAGATCTCAATTTCTGCTCCAGAGGCACAATTCCAAACACTGTCAAAAATTAGAGAGTTTGATCTCTCTGTACAAAATTAACAGTTACATTACACTGAAAAAAAGCTTCTTGTCATTTAACAAGTCGTTTCAGTTAAATAGTGCTGAAAAGAGCTTACCTTAAAAATTTATATATTTAACTTCAAGTTTTTAAATTAATAAATTTGAAATGGAAACCAAACACAAGTTCCTTATGCCCACGTAGCAGGAAATCTTATATTAAAGTGTAGGAAAACAAAAGGAGCAAAAGACACCTTTACAAGCACTTGCTGGTTATGTACCAATAATGCCACCTACTGGCATGACAGGTGATGCAAATTTTATTTTTCATTACTTTTAAAAGTAATTGAAGAGCTTTATCTTCAATACAGGATTAAATAGCATTTGTTGTCTTCTCACTTCCTCTCACCTCAACCAGATGCTTTCCTTCACCACATATCCTGACAAGCAAGGGGTCGGATTAGAACCTTATTCTTTAATACTGACTCTAATTTGACCCTAATAACTGGGTCTAGAATGTATTCTGAAGAAAACTACTGCAATCTCACTAACAGACTTAGAAAGTTAACTGCCAAATAGATTTCAGAAGACAGACATGTAATGAAGTTTTATTGATTCAGCTCCTATTAAAAATTCTTTCAATTCCTCCAACAGATACGTAATGTCTAACTGTAAAAATGAAATCTAATCTTAATAATCAGTTGAAGCCCACGTACAGCAAGAATTTGAGCAATTTTTAGTTTAAGCAGTGAGTCAGGTCGGTATTTCAAAACAAATCCAGTAGATAACACAACTATGTATTTTTTAATTTTTAATCCCAGAATGGAAACAAAATAACAATCAAAGTATCCAAATCATATTATCCTTGCCTCGTAACTTGAGAAATAATGGCCTGAAATTGTACCAGGGAAGATCAGGCTGGGTGTTTGGAAACTTCTTCTCATGAGTGGTGATGCAGTGGCACAGGCTGCCCAGGGAGGTGGTGGAGTCACCATCCTTGGAGGTGTTCAAGAACCGTGTGGATGTGGCACTGAGGGACGTGGTCAGTGGGCATGGTGGGGGTGGGCTGATGGTTGAACTGGACGATCTTAGAGGTCTTTTCCAGCCTTAATGACTTTATGATTCTCTAAGCAAGCAATTACGATCAAATCACTTCAGAATCTAACTCCACAATTAATCTGCTCTCTTATTGTGTCTTGGATAAAGGAATACCTACCATCTTCCTGGCTACCAAGCACACGTCAAAACCTTTCACGGTGGCACTTGTGCCACATCAAACGCTGCAGACTGGTGTCTGTGGATTTGTGCCACAAAAACCTATCAGACTACGAGTTCAACAGACCTGGAACTTAGCATGAAAGCTGTTCTAAGATATAAATTTCATGCCTCGTCTCCCTAAAGACAAGTCTTCCAGGAGAATGTGGATCTTTTCATCAGGACCTCCCAGGATCCAGACATACTGAAAATCTGCATTAACTGTATCTTTTCATCCAGGGACAGGTAGCATCCTGAATACCAAAGATACTCCACAAAGTGCTGGGTTTTTTTTTATTATTTTTTATTTTTATGGCTAATAGGGTGTTACATTTCCTTAATGGAAATACACAAGAGCATGGGCAAACAGAATTGAATTTAGAACCAATTTCCGAATAGACAACCTTCTACCACATATAAAGATCAATACCTTTTACTGCATGCTAAAGATGTTTTTAAGGCACGAAGAACATCAACTTACAGAATGGTACTCAAAAATCACGTGCACTGTGCAAAACAGATGTTGTAAAATTAACATTTTTACTTATTTGGATTATTTTATTAAAACAAATAATTGCTTTAAAAACAAAACTTGTTAGTTAAATCAGTGCTGGTAGAAATCCGAAGTTTTTCAAGTTGTAAAAATAAATGCTTAAAAGAGTTTGGTGAAACTTGAAGGAATGGTGTGGAGCTGCTTCAGGGGAGGGTCAGGCTGGGGGTTAGGGAAAGATTCTTAACCTGAGGGTGACTGGCCACTGGAACACATTCCCTGGGCCACTGGTCACGGCGCTGATCTGGCAGAGTTCAAGAAGCGTCTGGACGAACACTCAGTCATATGGTATGATTTTTGGGTGGTGCTGTGTGGAGATAGGAGCTGGACTCAATGATCCTTATGGGTCCCTTTCAACTCAGGATATTCTACAATTCTATGAAACAGGATACAGAAGACTGGACTTGAGATCCCTTGAACTGGACTACAGGTTAATCTGAGTGTGAGGGCAATCCATCAATGCAAAAAGTCAATGGACTTGTCAACAGGAAGGTTTATGAGAACACAGATAAGAAGCAGCAGGTGAGTCAGTCCAGATCAACTTCACCCTGCTTAGTACAACCTACCAAAGCACTCCATCTGCTGCACACAAATAAACCAGACTATCAGCATTTGGAAGCAACAGAGAAAAACAGCCATTCCACTAAAATCTACTGTGAGATGACAGTGAACCACAAACACAGTGTTGCAGAGAAATACTGATACCTCCATAAAAACATGGCCAAGAGCTGACTTGGAACTGTATGTACAATTTGGGTCACTTGTATTGAGGAAGGCTGATGAATGCAATAAAAAATGGTTAGAAGACTGACCACACAGAAAATCCAGAGGAAAAAGTATCCATCTGATGACTAATCTAGAAAACAATCTGGCCAGCCCATCAAACTAAAAGCTTAAGATACATCATTGCTCTTTATAAAGAACAGGTAAACACATTGGAGAAAAGTACTAAACTGAAAAATAACACTGCCACCAGCAAATGCATGAACTGGCAAGAATACACGTAACTGGAAATCTCACTATGGAAACACCTGATAAGAATAGAGAGAAGAAAAATCTGATTTTCATATATAGCATAATCAATTTACAAAAGATTATATGACATAGCTGTCTAGCACTGCAGGCAACAGGCTGTATTCTGTTTTCTTCCCCCAGTTATGTTAAACATAACAGACAGCACATAACCCTTCTAATGTTTAGATATTCTCAGTTTTTCGAGCTTACATATCAAACTGAAGTTTATAGCCTGTTTTTATAAAACTGCTTGATTACATTACACTGCCACACAAGCACAGCTACTACAAGTGAGTCCAGAACGGTTCTGTTCAAATTATTATTTCAGACAGAACTGCATTACCATGAATGCAGTATCATATAAACTGTCAGAACCACTCTCAAACTACTGCACTCCTGTATTTTTCCCATTTGTTAGAATATACTGCCCCAAAAGATGTGTTTGGCCATCCGTGAGCCTGCATGCTCACAACACAGCTATTCTAATGTGAAGATCATGTACAGAATGGCAGTAAAACCACAAATGACCTGCACTTAGTTTAGAGACACTTAAAAACTACTGCAGGATCCTACAGCTTGCTGAGCACATAACACATAACTTAAGAAAAGCTCTACTAAAGCTAAGAAAGTAGATTAAAGCCAGTAACAAGCATAACAATCAACAATCAAGAAACAGTCTTACTAAAAATTGTGTTCTTACCTTTTCCAGGACTTAGGTTTTGGTCTATAAACACCTTAAGCTCTCCATTGGCTTCAATTAGTCCAGCCTATTAAAGAAAGTAACTTTTATTAAATTGACAAACACTGACAGCCTTTTATTGTTAAAGAGGGAAGAAATCACACCAGAAGACTCTGTTGCCACCACTCACATTTCCTCACTGATCTGCCACTTATGTAACCACACTGCTTGTGGTATAATATTAGCCAAACTTCAGAATCAGCTGATTTTTATAATTACCATGTTCCTAAAAGCAAGCAGAAAATCAGTTTACACATACCTTGCTATTTTGCATTCTAAGTTTACAAGGATACATGCACTGCCTTAACAGATAGCTGAACACCTTGCTAATTAGAACAACTAACATCTGTGACTATATATTGTGCTGTACAGCAACTATCAACCTGCCATTGAAGTTGGTAACATCATGGCAGAACCAACAGAGGTGCTAAGAAGTGCCTTATGTCACACTAAACAAAAAAATGGCATTACTGTTTTCTTTTTTTTAGGGATAAGAAAGCAGAGCTCTTAAGTGAAGGATTTCATCCAAGTGTATCAAATAATCAGCATCCTTTGAGAAAGATCAGTAGAAGTTATTAAAAATATACACTATTAATTCAGGATAGAAAATGCATGATGCAGTAACTCCCTGTGATCTTCAGACAAAGCAGTCCTGAAGGAATAACGAACGCAGGACACTGTTTCCATTTAGAAAGAACAATAAGAAATTCAACTTTTGTACTCACCACAGTATAGCAAGTGGTGTTACAGAAGCTGAAATGTCCCTAAACTGTATTTTGTGCACTGTCAGTACTTGAGAGCTACTGCAGATGTTTAAGAGACAATTAAGTGCTCTGCTGTCAGTCAGCAACAAAACTTTCTCCTCAAAAGGCTACCTGAAGAGCCCTGCTGGAAATTAGCAAGTTCAGCAAGTCAAGCAGACCACTAGAGGATGCTGTGGTGCTGCTACTATCCAGGTGTATGACAGCAATCAATTCTTAAGCCAGAAAGAACTTCACAAGGCAGGAAACTGTTGAAAATTTTCTCTCCTCTCACTGAAACGGAAGAGGGGAAAAAAGTTGACAGAGCACTGAGGACAGACTGGGAGGTGAGCAGAAGAGAAATCTTGCTACAGGAAGCATTAAGAGCAGAATTCTGTAATAGCATTGCAGAGATGAGGACCCAGTGGCACAGAGGAAATCTAAGTGAGGAGATAATGGAAGCAATGGGTAAAATGCAGGGCCTGTAGTATTTGTGTCTTTCCTTCTCACAATTTCCCCCTCCTTCCCCCCCCCAAAAAAATGCAATAGCCTGATTTAATGAGACTGCAACAACTTACCATGACACAAACAATGCCTGCTCTCCTCCTTGCCCACAGCAGGGATTCAAAGGTCAGCTCCAAACAACGACACTTCTCCTGTCCTACTCCCAAGCACCAGACCTACACAACCCTGCAGGCCAACAGACTACATCTGATCCTTCCAAAGAAAGATGTTGTTCACTAACATGAAATCACTAATATGTACAAAGATGTTATAAAAGCAGGCTCCACAGCAATATAAATTTCCAGAACACATGAACTCAATGTATTGAATTGGATATGAAGACAAATTTGGAGGTATTACATTACACTCCCAACTCTACCTCAGTTACACAACAGGAGAGTTAAACCACACAGGAAGCACAGTCTCACTGTCCCAATTCTTCTAAATGCAATCCTTCAGTTTCTATTCAACAACAGAAAGAAGAGGCTTGTGCTCCTAGGATACCCAATGGTTCTTCTTTTCATAAGAATGAGAAATATACCAATGAGAATGGAAAGGTTTTTAATATGCAAAAGAAAATTTGCATCAGGTTTACATATCAGTTAAAGTGATAAGCCAAATACAAAACAGTGTGAGCTTATTCAAGAATTCAAGTAAAAAAGGCAAATCACTACTGAATACTATCTCAATAATTAGCAAATTAGGTAATTCAGTAATCAGTTATTCTTTGCCTCCGCCACATCTTTATTTTAATTGGAACAATCTCCAGTACAACCATTTCTATTACTTCATTTTATCCCTAAGTATGCTACCAATTAATACATGACATCATCTAATAAGTTATGTATTTCCTTCTATATCATGACAAGCTACCAAAACCAATGGTCAACTCCAGGAACAATCCAACGTTACAAAGGGTCAGGTTAGTGCCACATATCCTGGATCATGTTCCTGTGTGACTGAAAGCATGCAAGCCAATGACAAACTGGAAAACATTCAGGAAAAACATTGCATTTCAGTCAACAGTAGAATACAATTTTGGAAAAACTCAGAGAACAACAATCACCAAACAACAAGAACCCTGAGGAGCCAGCAAACTGATGAAGACTACAGTAGTTAGAGTTCCACCACCCTGCACACTACGGTCGTGCTGAAGGTTCAGTTCTGGCAGTCACATGGTTGGTAAATATTCAACTTGAAAGCGTATGCCTAGGAAAGGCTCCAAGAAATCTGCCTGGGAAGAACATTACCAAATTCAATAGCAAGCAGCATCCCCAGCTGCTATGATAATGAAAGTTGATTTCATTTCTAGTGAAAATTCTCCTTCTCCAGGCTCAGTATACGCACATTTCACACTTCTAGATACAGTATTTGACTATGAGGTTATCAAGATTGTCACTATTTCTGAGTCTCCTCAAAGTCACTAGCTTTTAGTGACACAGAACTGAAAAGCAAAACTTTCATCCCATATAAAAATCCATCGTCTTTGTTCCACAATAGAACTACTGGGCAAAAAACTCTCAGTGCACACTTGAAAGAAATTCCCACTATTTTACAGGGCAGTTTTTTTGGAAGAGTCCAGGATTACCTTCCATAACCTACCCAGCACAGCACCCAAAGGAATTAAAGTTGAACTCAGAGGGAAATGTGACCACAGCTCCCAGTATTTAAACCCCAGTCACAGATCCACAATGAATGCAAGTACTTGGTTTTTGTTTTCCTCAATAGAAAACTAACCTTCTACTAAGACAGGTATCAACCTTTTCTGATGTGAAAACAAATTTAGTTTTTTCAGGCCTTATCAAGCTACTTGTATCAAGGTATTTTGATTTTTTTTTTCCATCTGATAACAGAATAAAATGTTTTCTTCTTCTCATGATTCTCAGCTTCAAGATGCATAACTTCCTTTGATGATAATGTCAGTGCTGCCTGGAGCACTATCACCATCTAAATATTTGACTCTGAAAGCTTTATTAACTGTCTACAACTTCACAATTTAGAGTTGTTTTCCTCTTCAAAGAGGCATGCTATGTACATAAACTTTTGCAAGGCTATGTAAAGGAACTTTTTTGTTGCAAACAGGTAACAGGTATAATACCCTTTATGCTTTTCACATTTCAACAAAATCAGAGATGTAAAAAGAAAAAAGCAAAGCTTTTGACACTCAACACAGCATCTAACTCCAGCAACTGTTCCCAGCAAAAACTTTGATCCCCTTTCTACTGAACACAAGTAGAGAAGATTAAAGACCAATGGACTAATCAGTAAATCTGCACACTTTAATTGTGGAAGCTATGCTTGAGTAGAGAACTGTGCCACCACCTGGGATCCACCTCATCACTGTTGAGAACTCTAAGGATAAGAAAACGACTGATAGGCTAAACATTTTGAAGGTGCAATTGAAGATAGCCAGCTACAAGATCAGTAGCGGCCAAAAGGACTAGGAAGTCTATTTTTGCCTTGTTTCCAAGTAAAAGCTGAAAAACTATAAGTGGTCTCCATCTGAGAGACAGTAAATTGTGAAATAATATTTTTTCTTGGACTAATGAAATTTGCTAAGAATGCAGAGAATTTCACTTGTTAAAAAAAAATCCCATACTGCAGACGGAGATACCAAGTCCTCTGATACTAGCTAGCTTGTATTTGTGATCTCTTAAGTTACACAGTAGAAATTCAACACCCTTACAATGAAAGTACCATTTCCAGACTTGCAATTTTCTCTCTTACTAAAAATTGGTATAAAATTATTCCTTAAAAGCTTTAAACATTAGAGTTTCTTGCTGAATTTGGACTGCAGAATAACTGGACAGGTACATGTCCTATGTTTGTCAAGCCTAACCTGAGAGGAAGATCCTGCTGCTACAATGAGATAAGCAAATACAGAGAAGAGAAAGCTGCCTTTGTGCCATAAAATACCTTTTCTATCTCGCTTCTATGTAATGTGCCGAATTTTAAGTATGCTCCAGGAGAAAGAGCTGAGAGAAGAAGGAAAGAAAAAAAAAAAAAGTTGGAAATAAATGGAAACAGAGGCATTTGCCAAAAGGTATTTCTCAGAAAGTTTTAAGTTGCTAACAGCAAGATAAGACCACCAAAATGTGGCACAGAACTGAGTTTGACAACCAAACAAGAGAAGTAGGTCAAAATACACAACACTGCTGAAAGAACGGGAGTCAGAATGGGACAGAGAAAGAAACATGCAGACAACATTGGCACTGACAGGGAAAGAATGAAGAAGAACTACAAAAGTCAAATGTAAGATGACAGATGAGGAATAGAGGTTAGTGTAATTGGGAGTCTCTTAAGAACACAGGAAACAGAAGTGATGGGAAACTAAAAGTTTTAAAAGACCAAGGAGACTGGATCCTGTGCAAAGAGAGGAAGAACACGGGAACAGGGACAGTGAACACATCCTACGCTAAATTAAACCACAACTACAGAGTATATAAATTGGGACTCACACTGAGAAGTAGTAAAGACACAGCTAGGCAATGGAGAAATGAGAAAGGAAAAGTATTCCCAACAGAGCAAATTTCCTCCTGGAGCTTGTCAAAGGCATCAGGAGGATGCTTCTTCTGTCTACAGGCATTTGCGAAGTCAACTGGCAAAAACCCACACATCTGGAGCAAACTACTTAATTTGATCAGTACAGAGTACCAACCTCCAGGATTTCACACTTCAGAATTTAAGCATAAAGGCACTACGCCATGCAATTTGACTGTGTGCCTCCTTAATCATCATGTAGGGGTTTGGAGTTTATTTTATCATCAGGAGACAATAAAAAAAC